TTGTTGTTGAGGGCGATTGGTCACTTAGCAGGAGCTTTGATGATCCACTGTAACATTACCCAGCCAGAAACCTGGAGCAGACCATATGGCCTGTGGGCGCCTCAGTTGGGTGCTTTTACTGGAACACTGTGTGTCTGAAGTAAGCTGTTCCCATATCACATCTGCTTTAAACCAGGCAACCTAGAGCAGCTTGGAGTACAACTTAACTGGCTGTGGACACAGGTGATGCCGGACTACCAATCTCTCTCTACACAAAATATGATGGAGCCTAGCTTGAGAGAGAACCAAAGGGAACAAGATGAAGAAAGTCCTTTGGTCTTCTGATCTCCTTCTTCCAGATTAACCATCCTTCCATCATCAAGCTGTGATTAAATGAGTTCAGCATCCTACAGGAAACCAGCTTCAAAATTAACACTGAATTCAACGATTTGTCAAATTCAAGATGCTCGGAAATGCTAAGGAACTCGAATAATAATTTGTGGAGTCCTGTAGCTCAGTGGTTAGAGCAATCGCTTTGCAAGCGAGAGACCTGAGTTCAATTCCAGGCAGAGGGCGAAACCCTGGGCAAGTTTCCTTACTCCACACTAATAATAATCCCTCCAAAACCAAAAACAATAATAAAAATTGGTCTTTTTCAAACTATGACTGTTTGTGGGACATTGCTGTGCGCAATTGGCTGCCGCGTTCGCCCACAAATGCAGTCAATTCACTTTACAGTGTGTTCTGTGAAGCGCTTTGGGACGTCCTCCCGATGTGAAAAGCACTATATCAAATGCAAGGATTATTATTATTATTATTATAAATCTGGAACCAAGTAGAATTCTGACCCCAAACTTTCCAAAAATCATCACACTCTAAATGGCCTATCTCTAATTTTAAGATGATGCCCCTTTATCTGGCTTCCCCCCAAAATAGTTTCTCTGTGGCTACCGTATTGAATCCCTTTATTATTTAAAAAAAACATTTTTCAAAAAATTTTTAGGGGAGGGTTTGAACTAATTTGGCAGGCGGGGAGGGAACCAGGATATAGCATCAGGGAGGAGAAACAAGAAACACAGAGAGGACTGGGAAAGTGATATGTTTGGAATAAAGAGTAGATCAGAAAGAGGAGGGATCAGACAGGGGAGAAATGCAAAGCAGACAAAGTCAGGTTTGGAGTGTATGTGCGTAAATGCATGTAGCGTGACAATAAGATTGCCGAACTGCAAACACAAATTGCAACATGGGATTACGATAAAGGTGCAACAACAAAGAATTGGCTCAAACAAGAGCGGGAATGAGAGTTTGACATTCCTGGCTACGATGTATTCATAGGAACATAGGCCGTTCAGCCCTTCGAGCTTCTTCTACCATTCAATGAGATCGTGGCTGATCTGTGCCTCTAATCCTGTCGATTCCAATTTCCCACTTTTCCCCCTTACTCCTTAATACCCTGTCCTACCAAAAATCTATCAACCTCACTCTTGAAGGTGAGGATGGATCCAGCATCCATGGTCTATTGGGGGAGAGAATTCCAAATTTCTACCACCCTTTGAGTGAAAAAATACTTCCTAATTTTACTCTTAAATGGCTGGTTCTAATTTTCGGACTATGCCCCTTGTTTTGGATTCCCCCACCAGAGGAAGTAGCTTCTCTGTATCTACCCGATCAAATCCATTTAATAATAATAATAATAATAATCCTTGCATTTTATAAAGCACTTTTCATGTCTTCTTGATGTCTCAAAGAGCTTCACAGAATACACTGTAAAGTGAATTGACCCTATATTTGTGGGCGAAAAAAACCATCTTTATCATCTTAAATGCCTCAATCAAATCATCCTCAACCTCCTAAACTCAAGGGAATACAATCCAAGTATTTCCGCAGCATTTCCTCGTAAGTTACCCCTTTTATGCCTGGAAACATTCTGGTGAACCTGCACTGCACCCCCTCCAGGGCCAATATATCTTTCCTGGGGTCTGGTGCCCAAAACTGAATGCAGTACTTCAGATAGGGTCTATTCAGGAGGGATATGGAAAGAAAAAGAGGAGGGATGGCAGTATTGATCAAAGATATTGTTACAGACATGGAAAGGGATGATGTGCTAGAGGGATCAAAGATGGAATCTATTTGGTTGGAGAAAAGGAGCAGAAAAGGAACTGTTATGGTGCTGGGTGTGTATTATAGAGTGGGATGGAGATTGAACAGCAATCTGCAAGCAAATTTCAGAAAGATGTAAAAGCAATAAGGTAGTGACAATGGGGGACTTCAATTATCCAACCATAGACTGCAAGAATTCCTAAAATGTGTACAGGAGAACTTTCTCGATCAACGAGGAAGGAAGCAAGTGGGGCAAGTGGAACAGGTTTCAGTGGGAGAGCAACTGGATAACAATTATCACAACATCATTAGGTTTAGAGTTCTTATGGAAAGGGAGAAGGAACAATCAAAGGTGAAGATACTCAACTGGAAGAGGCTAATTTCAGTTGAAAGGGTATCAGGCCCAGGTAGACTGGAAACCAAGATTGATGGGTAAAACAGTAAACGAGCAATGGGAGGCCTTCAAAGAGGAGATAGTTCGAGTACAGACCAAACACATTCCCATGAGGGGAAAAGTAGAGCTCCCTGGATGACTAAGGAAATTGGGATTAAAATAAACAGAAAAACGAGGTTTATGATAAATGTTAGGTTCAAAATACATTAGAGAACCAAACAGAACACAGAAAGTGCAGAGGAGAACTGAAAAAGGTAATAAAAGGGGCAAAGAGAGTGTATAAGAAAAGATTAGCAAGTAACATAAAAGGGAACACTAAAGTCTTCTATAAACACATACAGAATAAAAGGATGGTCTACAAGGGTAGAGCTGATTATGGACCAAAAAGAAAAACTTCTTGCAGAAGCAGAGGGGATGGCTGAGATACTGAATGATTTGTTAAAGACAAATCGTGTCTGACAAACTTCATTGAGTTCTTTGATGATATAACGTAGAGGATTGATGAAGGAAGTGCAGTTGATGTATATGGATTTTCAGAAGGCGTTTGATAAACTGCCACATAATAGACTAGTTAGCAAAATTGAAGCCCATGGGATTAAAGGGACATGGATACTACATATGCTGGGAGACAGAAAGCAGAGAGTATTGGTGAAGTTATATAGAAAAACTGGAGAAGCTAGAATTGTTCTCCTTAAAATAGAGAAGGTTAAGGGGATATTTAATAGAAGTGTTGAAAATCATGAGGAGTTTTGATAGAGTAATGGTTGTTTTTCAGAATGGTGGAAAGTATACGGTGGTGTCCCCCAGGGGTCAGTATTGGGTCTACTGCTCTTTTTGATATATGTGAATGACTTGGATCTGGATATAAAGAACAAAAGTTTAAAGTTCGCAGATGACACAAAACTTGGGACAATGGTAAACAGTGAGGAGGATGGTAACAGACTGCAGGAGGGCATAGGCAGTCTGGTGAAATGGGCAGACACATGGCAGATGATGTTTAATGCAGAGAAGTGTAAGGTGATGCATTTTGGGAGGAAGAATGAGGAGTAGAACATACAATAAACGGTACAGGTTTAAAGGAGTTACAGGAGCAGAGAGATCTGGGGGTTCACGTACACACGTCTTTGAAGGTGGCAGGACAGGTTGATAGAGCTATTAATAATGCATATAGTATCCCTGGCTTTATGAATAGAGGCATAGAGTACAAAAGCGAGGAAGTTCTGCTAAAACTTTATAAATCACTGGTTAGACCTCAGCTGGTGTATTGTGTCCCATTCTGGGGACCAACTTTAGAAAGGATATCAAGGAGAGGGTGCAGAGGAGATTTACCGGAATGGTACCAGGGACTTTAGTTACGTGGAGAGACTAGAGAAGCTGGGATTCTTCTCCTTAGAGCAGAGAAGGTTAAGGGGAGATTTAATAGAGGTGTTCACAAGTCATGAGGAGTTCGGATAGAGTAGGTGGGGAGAAACTGTTTCCACTAGCAAGTGGGTCAGTGACCAGCGCACATAGATTGAAGATAATTGGCAAAAGAACAAAAGGAGAGATGAGATTTTTTTTTACACAGAGAGTTGGTACAGTCTAGAATTCACTGCCTGTAAAGCTGGTGGAAACAAATTCCATAACAACTTTCAAAAGGGGATTAGATAGATACTGGAAAAGGAAAATTTTGCAGGGATATGGGGAAAGAGTGGGGAAGTGGGACTGATTGGGTAGCTCTTCCAAAGAGCTGACACAGGCACGATTCACCGAATGGCCTCCTTCTCTGCTATCGTCTATGATTCTACCATTCTATGATTAGATCCACCCTTCACCTTTAAACACAAAGCATTGTTGAAACAGAGTCTGTTGTTTCTTTTAAAAGTGAAAGGGTACATACTTGAAGAGAAGGAAAACAAGCAGCAGAGTGGGATGGTTTTGAATTGTGTGGCTCATGGAGAAAAACACCAGCGCAGGCTTGAATAACAACAACAATTGACATTTATAAAGCAGCTTTCATACCGGAAGGATGTCTCAAAGAACTTCCACAGCTTCATATATTGCAGAGTGTAATGCTGTAAGCGAGCTCCCAATGGTAAGCAGTGCATTTGAGAAGCCATAGGCAATGGGAGGTAACAAAGCCTTGGGTGAGCGCACAGGATACAGTTGGTTATTTTCCTTGCGGGACTTTGAGATTGGCAATTTGTTTGCTTCAGGAATATCACCAATTAGATACCAGAATGAGGAGTGTGACCTGCCTGTGCAGAGGGCGATGTTACTTGGCTAGTCAAAGCTGGGGTTTGATCACTATGAATGCTTGAGAGCACTGGAATCCCAATCATGGAAGGAAATTGCTGGAAGCTAGTTCTTGTCACTGATTTGAGCTCTGTTACCTATTAATACAATTAAAGCCCAGGGCTATCAAAGGGGTTCCAAATATTACACTCTAGTTATCCAATGAGAGCTTTGCTTCTGCTCTGTTATGAGGTTAGTGATATGCAGTCACTGTGAACTGACCTATAAAAGAAAGTCAAAGCTGACAGACTGCATAGAGTTCTTGAATCGAATCTTTTCAAGACAAATCTAAGCAACACTCCTGACTTCAGCTACCATGAAAACCCTTTTTGCCATTACTCTGATCATTCTTTGCTTGTCAGGTCTCTTGGAAAGTATTTTGATTAAGGTAAGGACTGCACAACTATTTGTGGGACACTGCTGTGTGCAATTAGCTGCCGTGTTTTGCCCACAAAATACAGTCACTAAACTTTACAGTATATTCTGTGAAGCGCTTTGAGCAGTCTCAATAACAACAACAAGATTTCATTTATAGAGCTCGATGTCATAAGGCGCTATATCAAATGGAAGGATTGTTATTATTATTATTTTTAAAAACATTTTACGATTGATTTACAGGTATAATAAAATGATTCTTCCTTTTTAGCTTTACGGAACTTCGACTTTAAATTAGGAAGCACCGAGAACTGGGAAGAAAGATGCAGAAGTTTATAAGGCGGCAATGGGGGCGGAAGTTTGGCCGATGCAGTTCAAGTAGCCAGATGTGGGGCGACGCATGCTGGCCATAAAAATAGCTGTTGTAAATATAAATGAAATTAGGATTATCAGCAGGATTTAGGCACGAAAAAACTAGTTCACAGTTGCAGAAATCTATTAACAGGCCTAAAGTAAATCAAGGGTTTATACCAAAAAGGTGCAAAATAAATAAGGAAGCAATAATTATAATATTCCTTGCATTTGATATAGTGCCTTATCACATTGTCAAGATGTCTCAAAGGATATACTGTAAAGTGAATTGACTGTTATTTTGTAGGTGAAATGCAGCAGCCGAATGGGATGAAATCTAATTGAAGTGTTCAAAAATGATGAAAGGGGTTGACAGTAACCAGTGAATGATGTTTTTCACTTCAATTCTCAGTGGAGATGACTTTAAAGTTAAAGCAAAATCAGATACGACTGAGGTGAGAGAGTGGAATGAAGTGCAAAGCTATAGATATAGATTTGATTGGGAGATTCAAGAAAAAAGAGGGAAAATGAGAAGAATTTTTTTTTTACGGAGTGAGTTATTACGGTCTGGAATGCACTGCCTGAAAGGGTGGAGGCAGATTCAATAATAACTTTCAAAAGGGAATTAGATAGTTATTTGAACAGAAACAAATTGCAAGGCTATAGTGTAAGAGCAGGGGAGTGGGACGAGTTGGAAAGTTTCTTCAAAGAGCTGGTACATGCCCAAAGGGCTGAAATAGTCTTCTTCTGTGCTGTGGGTTTCTATGATTCTATGACAGAGATGGAATAATGATTGCGGTGCAAACGTAAATCGAATTTCACTGTTTTCAATACATGAACTCTCAACCCTACAACAAAGGGTAAGGCTGCCATTATTTGAAACCATAATATCCTCTGCGGCTCTTTCTCTTCTGGTAAGAATTGTTTGTAGACTCCAGCGCAAACACAAAATGTCTCATTGCCCAATGGGGTTGCGGTGAGTTCTTGATATGCTTCCACTCACTTCCTCTTGCAATTCCGTTGGACAACTGAATCGCAAAAGATCACTCCTGTGATGGTAACTGGTGAAAATAAAGTGAAGGAGCTATTGAAAAGTTATGATATCCAGTCCAGATTTGAAGGGTCAAATGGCCTGCTTCTGTGCTGTACACTCCTGTGATGTGACTTACCCCTTTAAGACTCGCTAAAAGGTCACGGTTTCTTTTTCACTCTGTTTCTGAGTTTGGAGATTTAGAATTCACAGTTGACGATGCAATGAAATTGAAGGACGTGATTGGTGAAGAAAAAGAATTTGGGCATAAAATGGAAGGAATCCTAAATCTTTGTAAGGAACCTACCTTACCAGCCAACTTCAAGCCAATCTGCCAGAAGAATGATGCTCCCCAGGTGTTTTCTACATTGTGTAAGTATCCTTTGAGGGTTTTTGTTTTTAAAACACGGTAGCGATGGGATTCCATAAGGAATAAGGAAACAGAAATGTTTTGCTTTATTGATTTAAATGATAATGAATAGATTCATTCATAGATAACCTTACATTTGATGCAGCGTCTATATCATACCCAAATGTCTTGCTATCGAGTGTAGTGACTATATTTGCAGATGAACATGGCCATTTTGTGCGCAGCAAGATATGATATGATTTTACAGCCAATTGTAAACTCCCTTCTCTTTTCAAATAATTTGAATTTCAAGTGCCTTTGGCGACCTCCCGATGTAAAGGCGCTATACAAATGTAGTTGTTTATTGTCATTGTTGAATAGTGTTGGGTGATCTTTGATGTCCACCTGCAAAGGGAGAATGTGGCTCTTAAACTGGATTGATTTTGACTGACGTTCGATCTTTCTTTCTTTCCAGATGATATAGCAAGCAATCCATACCCTTGTGACATCTGTTCCTTTGCTGTGTGCACAGGTTGTACCTAACCTGAGAAGGGAAAATTTGCAAAGAAAGGCTAAACGACATCCCTGAGTAGTTGATTCTTACAAAAAAGGAAAAAATCCTGTACTGACTATTTTTAGTTTTAATGTTGATTTTCTATGTGACTTCAGAATTTCATGATGAAAGGGCAAAACACAGTTTGAACCCAAGAAAAATGCAACAAGCAGGTGCTTATTGCTCTGTACATTCAAATCCATAGGGGCTTTGCTTGCTATTTGCTGATTTCTCCCTCCCCACCCTCCTCCCCGCGGGGTAATAATGAGGACTTACCTGCAGAATTTCATGAAGTATTGCTTTGTCAATGATTTGAAATCAATAAAAATGGATTCAAAACCAGTTTTACCATTCTTGTTGAATATAAAGTGAGTTCAACAATAGCAACTTGCATTTATATAGAGACCACTTGTGCAGAGTGCTTGACGGTGGTGGAGCAGGATGCCGAGTCGGGGGAGGGGGAGGTGACTGTAGACTCAGTCGAAGAGGAAGGAAGATGGGGAAGGAAGGGGGTAAGGCGGATGGATAGAGAAAGAGTTCCAGAGCTACAGGGTGTAGCAGCTGAAAGTGTGGCCTCCGATGGTGGAATGGGCTCCTGCACGAGCGATGTGCAAGAGGCCAGATCCATTCAAGTGGATATTTCTAGATGGTGGTAATGGCTCTCCTGGTTGTGGTGTCTCTGGTATAGGTGATTAGGATGTATCTGCAGCGGGTTGTGGGTTGGGGAGTGAGCAGGTCGGAGAGGTTGGGTGGTCCCAGGCTGAAGGAATTTGAAGACGAGTGAGAGGATCTTCTTAAATGGAGTTCAATCCTTTATTGAATGGTTCAGAGTCACAATAGTTTCACTCTCTACACTGGTCCCAGTTTATAACTCATCATGATAGAGCATTTGTACTTTCCATGGCATTTCATCACCAGGTTCTCAGAGCACTAGTCGATAGGATCTTAGTCACAGTTTGATTCTTCTATTTGCAATATAAATACGACTGCCGTGGATCAGTGGAAGAGTAGATAAGCTCCACTCCTCCATTCTCCCTTGAAAATATTAGTGATGTCCGAGGCTGGAGGGGTGTCAAGGTGGGCTCAGCCAGAAGGCCTTCCTGCGGGAAGGCCCAATGCGGGGCCATGAGGGCCCCAGAAGAACCCACTGCCTGGAAATGACATTGTTTCAGATTATTCTCTATTTCAAACTCTACTACTTCCCCTTCTGGTGGGTCTGCACTATTGTCATGTTACATCTAACGTTCTGGCAGCTGGTGGGATATTTCTGGACGGTGGAAATCGCTCTCCTGGTTGTGATGTCTCTTGTGGTGGTGATTAGGATGTATCTGGGTGACATGACCTGCAGGAGAAGGTGCCAGAGGTGGCTGGTTTGGCTGCTGGTGTCCGTTGTGCTGTACCTGCATCTGTCTGAGAAACCCACTGAGAAGGGGTTGAAGACTGTAAGTGGGCTTGCTGCTGGGGTAGCTAGTGGTGGGTTCCTCACCCTCAGAGAGATACTGTGTCAGCTCCTGTCTTGCTTTCACCTCCGACAATTCGACCAACAAGAGGAGGAGGTCCCGAGCACCAGCTCCCCGTATGACCCCCAGCCTGACACCCAGCCATAACCCCCAACCCAATGTGAACCCCAGTCACCAGCCCCTAGACCAACTTGAAGCCCAACACTCGCGCCCCCGCCCCCCTCAAAACCAACCTAAACCCCAGACACCATCCCCCAACCACAGTCGCCAACCCCCAGCTCTCAGCCCCTAACCCAACATGAATAATTGTCAGTGAGGGATCGAGTCTCACTGTCTCTGATCTTCTGATGCCTTATAGGCCCTCCCTCAGCTACCAACCCCTCCCTCAGCTACCAACCCCTCCCTCAGCTACCAACCCCTCCCTCAGCTACCAACCCCTCCCTCAGCTACCAACCCCCCGTCAGCTACCAACCCCTCCCTCAGCTACCAACCCCTCCCTCAGCTACCAACCCCTCCCTCAGCTACCAACCCCTCCCTCAGCTACCAACCCCCTCTCAGCTACCAACCCTCCCTCGCTACCAACCCTTCCTCGCTACCAACCCCTCCCTCCAGCTACCAACCCCCCCTCAGCTACCAACCCCCCCCCCCCCCCCTCCTAGCTACCAACCCCCCCTCAGCTACCAACCCCCCCCCTCAGCTACCAACCCCCCCTCAGCTACCAACCCCCCCCTCAGCTACCAACCCCCCCTCAGCTACCAACCCCTCCCTCCGCTACCAACCCTTCCCTCCGCTACCAACCCCTCCCTCCGCTACCAACCCCTCCCTCCGCTACCAACCCCTCCCTCCGCTACCAACCCCTCCCTCCGCTACTAACCCCTCCCTCCGCTACTATCCCCTCCCTCCGCTATTAACCCCTCCCTCCACTACCAACCCCTCCCTCAGCTACTAACCCCTCCCTCCGCTATTAACCCCTCCCTCCGCTATTAACCCCTCCCTCTGCTACTAACCCCTCCCTCGGCTACTGTGTGAGAGAGTGTGTGTTAGTGTGAGAGTGTGTGAGTGTGTGTGATTGTGAGAGTGTGCGAGAGAGTGTCAGAGTGTGTGTGAGAGAGTGTGAGTGTGTGTGGGGGAGAGTGTGTGTTAGTGTGAGAATGTGTGAGAGTATGAGAGTGCATGTGAGAGAGTGTGTGAGAGAAAGTGTGAAAGTGTGTGTAAGTGTGTGTGAGAGAGTGTGAATGTGTGTGGAGGAGAGTGTCTGAGTGTGTGAGAGAGAGTGTGAGTGTGAGAGTGTGAGGGAGCGTGTGTTAGTGTGTGTAGTTATGTATGTGAGAGTGTGTGTGAGAGCGTGTGTGAGAATGTGTGTAACAGTGAGTGTGTGTGGGAGAGTATGTGTGAGAGAGTGTGTATGTGAGAGTGAGTGTGTGCAGTGTGTGTGTATGAGAGTGTGTGTGAGAGTGTGTGTGAGAGAGTATGTGTGTAGTGTGTGTGCAGTGTGAGAGTGTGTTTTAGTGCGTGTGTGTGAACTGTGTGTGTGAAAGAGTTTGTTAGTGTGCGTGTGAGAGTGTATGTTTGTGGTATGAGCGAGTGTGCAGTGTGTGTGTGTGTGGTGTGTGTGTGAGAGAGTGTGCGTGAGAGTGTGTGTGTATAGTGTGTGAAGCTGATACAAACCTTCGCTATGTGTATCCTCACCCACACCAAAATCCACATAACTATCACCGAACCTTCATAACGCTCCACTGCTTCTGAACATAATGACTTCAAGATCCTCACCCTCTCATCCAATTCTCTTCATGACCAAACAAAGGTCCTCAACTGGTCGATGGCCGCTAAGTGGCGCTCTCGCACACGATCAAAAGGATAAGAGGGAGGAGCGATATAACTGTACAGCACTCATACAAGTGCAAGTTGCTGTTAGGGGTGGACTTGAGTTATGTTCCTTCATTGTATTCTTTAGAGCTGAGCAGGGCGGAGAGTTTACTGGGTTAAAAAACCTTCTCGTCTTACCAGCATTTTACCGTGATTATGTTCAAGTCAGAGGGGTGGTGGGGGAGGGAGAAGAGAAGCTGAGTGTGAGGTGGGGCTGGGTCTCGGAGAGAGAGGACCATCCCCCCCCCCATCCCCCTCTTCCGACTAGCACACACACATAGTATATTCTAGAAAAATGGTGGTGCGAATGTCACATTACCTAATTGATGAGAGATAATAATAATCCTTGCATTTGATACAGCGCCTTATCACATCGTTGAGATGTCCCCAAGAGCTTCACAGGATATGCTGTAAAGTAAATTGACTGTAATTTTGGGGGCGAAACGCAGCAGCCAATGGCGCACAGCAGCGTCCCATAAACAGTCATGGATTGAGTGACCAAATTATTATTTTTTATGAAGGGAGTATTACCCCCGGAAAAGAGATTCACTAATCAGTGAACAACTGGGTTCCTACTTACCGCTAGGTAAACAGAGACATGTGGAGTAAGGAAACTTGGTTAACGTTTTGCCCCACCCGGCAATTGAACCCTGGTCCCAGTGAATGTGCTAACCATTGCACTACAGGATTCCACAAATGACCAAGACCATTGCCAAAAACTTCACCTTGGAGCCAATAGCTTTGAATAATACCTTATCTCGTGACTATATTTCCCAGACAAGCGTCACAGCCATGTGCATCATCAAGGTCCAATGATTCATCTTGGAGGAATTTGGGCCAGGGCAATAGAAAAAAACTCCCTTAGATAATCTCACCTCAATTAAGCTGGGTGGAGCTCTGAATTGTTTCAAATTCCATTGATGGTGTTTCATCTGAAATATTGTGACACAGTTATCGAACGCATGATTTGCAACCACCTGAATTCTAAATGATTGGAGCTGGAGTGAGTTTAGCCTAAGATCAAAGTTGCTTTTGTGCATGCACCACAGCTCTTCCGATCACAGCACATGTTTATTTGCCCGGCCGGGTGTCTGACACATATGCAAACCCGTGCTTAAGAGTATCCAAACCCAACTGAGATTTCCATGCATCCCACCTACACATGGAAATCCCAGAGATAGATTGTTGGAATGGAATGTGCTCTCTCCCTAATTCCGGAAAGTATATGGCGCAGGTTGGCAAGGCCAAGGCTTAGGGAGTAGAATTTCCTAGAATCATAGAATCATAAAATTATACAGCACAGAAGGAAGCTATTCAGCCCATCCTATCTGTGCCAGCTCTTTGAAAGATCTATCCAAGTTAACCCCCTCCCCCACTCGCCACCCAAAGCCCTGCAAATTTGTTCTCCCCAAATATCTATCTATTTCTCTCTTGAAAGTTATCGAATCGGCTTTCAGACAATGCATTCCAGATCCCAACAAATCGCTGTGTGAAAAAAATTCTCCTCACCTCCCCTCTGGGAACTATTTTCAATCTGTGTCCTCTGGTTACTGAAACTGTGGAAACAGTTTCTCCTTGTTCACCCTACCAAATCCCCTCATGATTTTGAACACCTCTATTAAATCTCCCCTTAACCTTCTCTGCTCTAAGGAGAATAATCCCGGCTTCTCTACCTCTCCTGATAACTGAAGGCCCTCATTCCTGGTACCATTCTGGTCAATCTCCTTTGCACCCTCTCCAATGCCTTGACATCCTTCCTAAAGTGTGGGGCCCAGAACTGAACGCAGTCTCGAGCTGAGGCCTAACCAGTGTTTTATAAAGATTCATCATGACCTCCTTATTTTTCTATTCTATGCCCCTAATAGTATGCTTTTTTAACAGCTTTATCTACCAGTCCTGCAACCTTCAAAGATTTACTTAAATGAACCCTCAGGTCTCTCTGTTCCTTCACCCCCTTTAAGATTGTACCATCAGCTTATATTGCCACTCATTCTTCCTCACAAAATGCATCACTTCGCATTTCTCTGCATTAAATTTCATCTGCCACGTCTTCCCATTTTACCAGTCTGTCTATGTCCCTTTGCAGTCTGCTACTATCCTCCCCACTATTTACTATTTTTCTTAAGCTTAGTGTCATCTGCAAACTTGGGAATTGTCCTCCCTATACCCAAGTTCAGGTCATTTTTATAGATCAAAAACAGCAGTGGTCCCAATACCGACCCCTGGGGGACACCACTGCACACTTCCCTCTTCAGAAAAACAACCGTTCACCACCAACTCTCTGCTTTCTGTCTCCCAAACAGTTCTGTATCCGTTGCCACTGTCCCTTTAATACTGTGGGTTTACATTTTTCTAACACGTCTATCATGTGGCACTTTATCAAAGGCCTTTTGGAGATCCATATAAACTACATCCACCTTCATCTATACTCTCGGTTATCCGTGTTGGCTGATGTTTATTAATCCATAGCTTTCGAAGTGAAAATTAAATTTCAACCCGGATTATCATCTCTAGCAGTTTCCCCACCTCTGATGTTAGGCTGACTGACTATACTGACCCAGACCAAACTCCATACCCACATCTCACCAGTTCTGGCCCAGGCTCCACTGGTTCCCCATCAACAAAAGGATCGACTTCAAGATACTCACGTTCATGTTCAAATCCTCACACTCATGTTCAAACTCTCTGGCACCTCCCTATCTCTTTGAACTCCTCACTCTCCAATCCACCATCAGGCGCCTCTGCTTGACTCGCACCGACCTCCTGCTCGTCCCTCGCACCCTCCACCCCACCATCCGAGGTCGTGCTTTCAGCCATTACGCCCCAAAACTCTGGAACACTCTCCTTCAATCCCTTTGCTTTGCCCCCTCTCTCTCCTTTTCCATATCCCACCTGAAAACCTTCCTCTTTGACCGTGCTTACAGCCACCTCCGTCCCACCGGGCTCAGAGTCAGGCTCCACTGTTAAGTGCTCTGAGACACTGCATCCTGTCCGGACCGGGTGACTTATCTACCTTGAGCACTGACAACCTTTTTAGTACCTCCTTTCGGTTTATTCGTACCTTATCCAATTTCTCTCCCCTCTCCTCCAATACTGTGGCATTGCCTGCATCTCCTTCTTTTGTGAAGATAGATGTGAAGTACTCATTCAGTACATCAGCCATGATGTATTGAATGAGTACTTGACCTCCACAAAAGATTTCCACAAGAAGATTTCCACAAGAAGAATGCCTCCACAAGAAGATTTCCTCTTTCGTCCCTAATTGACCCCACCCTCCTTTGACTAACCTTTCATTCTTTATATGCTTATAAAATACCTTAGCGTTCCCTTTTATGTTACCCGCTAATCTTTTTTCATGCAATCTCTTTGCCCCTCTTAAATGCCTGGAATTTCCTCTTGTTGGCTCAGTTGAGCAGCAAGGCTAAGAATGCAAGTGTTGAATGTGATCAGGAAGCACTTGGGACGCAAATTATACACAAAAGTTATGAGAAGCTTGAGATGTTGTCTGGGGACTGGAGTAGCTTGTGTTTGAATTACTAGCAGTTTCTCTCTCTGCCATAAGGTGACTAAAACCTGCTTTGGAATAACCTTTATTAAAGTCACATGTAATGACAAATATAACAATACATAAAACATCACAAAAGCACATACATAAATATTAATACCGAAGAAATAAATTCTTTAATAAGAGCAATATTATTTATGCTCAGCTCCATGGTTTATGTCAAAGACAATTCTCAGTATTTTGCGTTTTGACAATTCTCATCTTGATTTGGTTAAGCTTCAAACAGGAATAGAACATGAGAAAGGATCCACAGTAAATTGCAGGGAGGTGCTGGGTGAGGGAACGTTAATGCTTTACAGCAAGACTCCCCACCCCTCCAATGTCAAGGACATACACCCCCTTGAGCCATGGCCCCTAAAGAACACTCGTCGTCATTCATTGCTGGGTTTAGATAAGGTGGCCAGGAACACAAAAGAAGCAGTGACAGAAAGTGTTTAGCGAGTGATACAAAGGCAGTGATCAAGTCGGATCATTAGAAAATAGTCCTGCAAACATCAACCGCTTTCCTCTACTTATCAAAATAAAAACTTGCAGAAGAGTCCAAACATTAAGAGGAAGGTAGATTTAATTATTTATTCCACTGGTTTGTTTAGCCTCTGAAAGAAAGTGCATTACTGTCCCGCTCCATTCCACACGTTTGCCACCACAGATTTCGCCATTAGCAGCCAGTACACGCTGCAAATGCACAGATTTCACAAACGTCTGATTTTACCCCAATCCGTCCTATAAGAGAAAACGGGAGATGTTTAGTCACATCAAATCATCTACATTTATCATCCCTCTCGCCAGGGAGTATGTTCTCCAATACAGGCAGAGGGTAAGATGGCATAGATATATGTGAAACTCTCAATCGGGTTTGGATACTCTTTAACATGGTGATTGGTTTCTACTTGCGTCAGACACCCGGCTAACCAAAAACATTCAAAAAGAGGAAAGTGTTTTGCTAAATTCAAACACAAAGCACTCGTAATTAACGTCAGTGAGCTCCTACTGATCTGTACCCATATCACATTGTTGGCAAAGTCTTCAGTGACTATATACCCGATCTCTGGAACTCTCTCCCAAAAACCCTTTGTTTCCTGCCTTCAAAATCCCTTTCGAGTTTCTTCCTTCCTCACTGCTCAGTGAGTTAGTCTGTCTGTGGTTTTAGTTGGTTAGACTCCAGCATTTACCCCAATGCACCCTCTGGAGTCCTCAAGCCTTAGCTCTTGCCAACCTGTGCCTCATACTTTCTGGAATTAGGTAAGCAGGATGGTCCCTCCAGGGAGAGAGTGTGCATTCCATTCCAACAATCTATCTCTGGGATTTACGTGGGAATTTGCATGTAAATCTCAGCTTGGGTTTGGATATTGTTATTCATAACATTGAGGCTTGATTATGCAAACTCCTTGCTTGTCGACTTCCCCAACTCCTCCCTCCACAGGCTGCAGATCATCCAGAACTCTGCAGCGTGTGTCCTCTCCTGCACCAGGCTCCATGACACTATCACCCTCAGCCTTACCCAACTCCACTGGCTTCCCATCACACAGAGGATACAGTTCAAGATCCTGTTCCTCACCTTCAAAGCCCTCCATGGTCTCGTTCCCCCTTTAGCTCTGCGACCGCCTGACCTCCTTCTATCCTGCCTGCTCCCTCCCCTCAGCGAGCTCCGGCCTGCTTCACGTCCCCTGCCCCACCATTGGTGGGTGGGGGCCTTCTGCCACTCTGCCCCCATTCTCTGGAACTACATCCCACAGTCTATCCACCTTACCCCTTCCCTTGCCTCTTTTAAGACCCTCCTCTTCGACCATGCTTTCGATCACCCTGCTTCCCCTCTGCCCTCCATCCTCTCCAATCCCAACCCCCAGCTTGGGTCTGAAACTCTGACTGTCCAGCACCTTGGGACATCCTCCCAACGTGAAAAGCGCTATACACTAAATATGTAATTTTGTTGTTGATGTTGTTAAACTGTGATGGGTTTCCCTATGTGACAGGCCAAAAAATTATTGTTTAAGGAATCCTAATAGGATAGACCACAGAGCAGACCCTAATACCTGCTAACAGTGGATTCCATTGGCAAGAATTCATTGAAACATTTCCCATTATTATCTTTGCTGTACGATTGTTGATCGATATTTGCCTTTATTCAGCATCTAACATTGAGGATCCCTGCTCCAGCCTGCTCCACGTCCCCCTCCAGCCCACCCCACCATCTGCCTCTGTGCCCCCACCCTTTGGAACTGCATTCCACAGTTCCTTTGCCCTACTTTGCCTACTTCAAGATACTTCTCAAGACCCTCTGCTTCAACTGTGCCTTCGGTCAGCCTCCTACGCTCCCTGCCCTCCACCCCTCCTGATCCCAACCCCCTGATCAAGTCCAAATCCACAGCACTAGATATCCATAGGCTAGTGTTGTGATACAGCACACCCCGTGTCTCGTTTATGCAGCATATTTACTATAGCTACTTACCTAGTAAGTTAAAGATTTCATCAGCATCAGTCTTGGTACAGATTGGCTTGAATATACCTGGGAGGGCAGGCATTTTGCACACTGTATTGGTGTTGTCACGGAAGAACTGTTCATTTTTTGCTTGGTTAATTAGGTCCGTCAGGTTTTTGACAGCTTCCAGTGGGAACTCATACTCTCCAATCTGATGGGAACAAAGGATTCAGCATTATAATCCACTCAAACTGGAATCATTTACATTTGATAGAAAATTAATGGGACTTTTCAGTGACTTCACTTTATTTTCAATAGCCTCCATTCTTCAGTCATGTGAATAACAGTTTGCCATCACATTGTACCATCAATAACAACAACCTGCATTTACACAAAGCCCCTCACACAGGGTAGCATCTCAGAGCGGTTAACAGTGGTGGAGGCTGATGCAGAGCTGGGGGGAGAAGGAGGCCGGAGGCCGGTGCAGGAGGCCGGAGCTAGCCAAACAAGTGGTGGAGTGGAGAGTAAGCAGGTAGGGAGGTGCCAGGGCATCAGGAGATTTGTGGATGTGTGTGAGGATTTGTGGATTAAGTCAATTCGTGATAGAGAGCAAGCAGAGCCTGGCGAGGACTGATGCGATGGATTACCTATGACCTTAACCTCGTCCTCTCCAAGCTCCAGTAGCTCCCAGTTTCCCAGAAGATGAATTGCCCAGATCCCTTCCCAGTTGCGCCCATCAGTTGGGTGAACTCATGCGTGAACTCATTTTATTTTGGGTGATAGTCAGCAATGTCAGGAGTAACACAAAACACACAGAGTCCCAAATAACAATGTGTGTGCCCCCCTTCGCCATGGCAGCTGGAGCCAAGACGCCACCACAAAAGCAGCAGAATAACTATAATGTCAGAGAACGGTGATAATTTGTCCAAATGTCCTTCACTTTCTGCCGTTCTCCACTAAGGTCATAGTATGTGATGGTATCACAACACAACAACATTATCGCCCACATTTTATGTGGCAATCCCAAACTGCCAAAGGTTACCACACTTTACAATGAATCCTGTGAAGCACTTAGAGACGTCCTCACTACATGAAAGTTGTTGCATTAAATGTAAAGGATTATTATTATTTATTTGTACCATAAAAACAACAACAACAAATTACATGCATGCAGAGTCACTTCGGGAGGATGTCCCAAGGCGCACGACACACAAGGATTTGGACCTGAGCTGGGAGTTGGGATGAGGAGGGTGGAGGGCTGGGTGGGTGAGGGTAGGAGGGAGGCCAAATACGTGGTCGAAGAAGGAGATGTTAAAATAGGCCTTGAAGGAAAAAAGGGAGTGGACGAAGCAAAGGAACTGTGGGATGGACTCCAGAGGGTGTTAACTTCACATGTTTAGTTGTCAATACATTCCACCAATAACAAGCTATGCTGAACTTGTGCTGGGAATTTTAGATGGACCAGTGTGGACGGAGCGTTACTCTATATCTAATCTGTGTAGTAGCTGGATGTGACAATATAGGGAGAGCTTTACCAACTCATGTAGTAACTGAACATGGAGTGCTGGATGTAGAGGGAACTTTACTTGTGTCTAGCCTGTGCTGGACATGACCTATGAGTGTTCAATATGATAGTATAGAAGAAGCTTTATTCAATATCTAATCTATACTGTACCTGACCTGGAAGCATTGGATGGGACAGTGTTGAGGGAGATTTACTCTGTCTCTAACCTTTGCAGTACCTGAGCTAGGAGTGCTGGACAGACAGAGTAGAGGGAGCTTCACTCTGTATCTAACCCATGTGGCATTGGGCTAGGACTGCTAGGATGGCAAAAATGGGTGTGTAAATCAGGAAAGTGCTCCATTTCTCAGCACATTTGGCTATAAAAGATCTTTAAAAGGGATTCAACAAATATTTCGAAAGAAAAATGAAAGAAAAAGTGAGTGGGGAAAGGCAGGACAGTGGGACTGAATGAAGGGAAGCTCTTACAATCACCCCACATCCCGTCATGTCTGTGCTGTAACATTCTCTGAGCCTCTGAAGTAAATAAGCATAAAATTCGCACAAAAAGTGAAAAAAAACACATATAAACCCAAGATAATTCAGCCTCAACCTCAACCCATTTGAAAATAATAGTAATAATACTTGCATTTGATGTAGTGCTCTATTGTGTCATTGAGACGTCTCAAAGCGCATCACAGAATATATTGTGAAGTGGGTTGCCTGTATTTTGTGGGCAAAATGCAGCAGCCAATTGTGCACAGCAGTGTCCCACCAGTGTCGTGGATTGAGTGACCAATTTATTTTTTTGAGGGATTAGTATTACCCGAAAGTGATCCACCTATTGACTAACAAGCGAGTTCCTACTTACTGCTAGGTAAACGGAGACGTGTGGATTAAGGAAACTTGTCCAAGATTTCGCCCTGCTCGGGAACCGAACCCAGGTGCTCTCGTTTACGAGGCGAGAACACTAACACTACGCTACAGGACTCCACTCAAGATGCTCTGATATACGCACAACAATCAAAGCTAATTCCTGTGTTAGTCCCTCATGGGATGGGTTCCAAATGTTTGTTACAATTGGAATTAATTGGAAAAATGAAAGAGAACGGGTTAGTTAGCCCTACCTTGACCACAACACACTGTGAGAGGCTTGACAGGCAAATGAGGAGCAGAATGGTCCCGATAGAGGTTTTCATGTTGACCGAGGTGTGCAGTTCAGATCAGAGACGTCTCAGACAAGTGGACTCAGGACTTGTATGTGGCGTCTTGGTGCTGCTCTTTTTTATAGACTTGCTTCACCTAGTTAAGTAATCTGATGTAACTGATGGTGTAAACAGGGTGTATTACTGTGCAAACCTGCATTCGAGAATGACTAACAGAGCCATAATGTTTTATAGCGCTCCACTTATGGTTGTAATAACACTAATAGGTGACTGAGGTTATACTGCTTAGCTACAGTTAAACAACCCTTGCATTTGATAAGGGCTTGTATCCACAAAACAAAGGAATAAAGAGTGTAGATTTAGCCCATGTTTAGATTGTATGAGAAATCAGGGAGTATTCTGGAACAAAATCTCTAATGTTGCATTCCAAAGCTCAAACTCTAAACATTATTTGTTTCAGCCGGAGTGAGAGAGAAAGTTTGCTTCTTAACAAAACAGTCGCTCCAGTTCTTAAAACTTTGTGACCGCTCGCAAGAATTCTGGATGCAGGATCAATGTTCTATGTGTTGACTGAGATTAGTACAGGAGACAAGCAAACTAATTCTCAGAACATGTGTTCTACTGATAACAGAGGATTACATTGGTCTAAAAACAGAACTGGGACAGGTGCTATCAGAGAAATGCCATCAGAGGGATTTTCAAACTGAATCTATCAGTGCAAATGGCATTAAGGATAACTTTCTACACACACTCACTTTGTAGAATTGAAACACTAAATGCAACAGCACAGAAACAGGCCATTGGACCCATCGTGTCTGCACTAGTGGAGTCCCATAGAATAGTGGTTAGCGCACTAGCCTCGCAACGAGAGGACCTGGGCTCGAGTCCCAGGCAGAGTGAAAACATAGGCAAGTTTCCTTACTCCTTACTGTTTTTGAGACACTGCTGTGTGCAATTGGCTGCTGCGTTTTACCCACAAACTATAGTCAATCTATTTTACAGTATATTCTGTGTAGCGCTTTGAGCCATCTCAACTGATAAGGCACTATATCAAATGCAAGGATTATTATTAGTAGTAATAGTCTTTTTCTCTACATGAGCTCCTTGTCCAATCCCATTCTCCTGCCCAATCTCTTTAATATTCCTATTTTTTCAAACATCTACCTAATTCTCAAAAGAATTGATGCTCCAACAACAGTTGTGTTAAAGAACTCCACATTCCAACCACCCTTTGATTTGAATATTCGGAAGGTGACCAGTGAAGATATTGTATTGCTACTGATATCTGAGCGGTTACATAGGGTGAGATGTAGCGCTGAACCTGGGTTGAATTTACAGGTTGTGCAGTGTCAAGTCAGGTCTTCGGGTGTTGCTTTGCTTCAGGGGATTCTGAGGTTCTCGAGAACAGAGGCGGCTGTAACACTTGCAAACTTATCAACATTTGAGACTTACTGTGAGTGACATTTACGATCAATAAGAGAGAGTGGAGCGTAGATTTACAAGCATGTTACCAGAGTTGGGTGGATATAGCTGTCAAGGAAGATTGGACAGGGCACAGTTGAGATGAGACAATTGAGATGAGACAGTCGAGACAATTATTTGAAATGATGAAAGGATTTGATAAGATTGTTTTTATGAGATTTGATAAGTTTCTATTTGAGTAATCGGCCGTTTCCATGTGTTAGTGAATTCAAACTGAGGGGCGTAAATATAAGATAGCCAGATCCTAACACGGAGTTTAGTTGGGACTTTAGGAGGTGGTGAGAATGTGGATCTCACTGCCACAAGTTGTAGCTGAAGCATCAATGTAATTAAGAGGAAATTTAATGCCTAAACTCATTTTGGTGTCAAATGATGATGTGAAAGGTGCCTTCAAAGTAACATTTGTTGTTGTTGTTGTTAATACATACACGTGGGCAAGAGAAATAGAAGTGTGTGGGAGACTAGGGGTGGGAGAAATGTGGAGTATAAACACCGCCATGGCTTAGTTGCGCTGATTGGCCTGTTTCTATGTGTAACTCTATTTAGCTTGTAAACCCCAATGGAGCTTTGCTCAGTGATGTAATAATAATAATAATAATCCTTGCATCTGATATATTGCCTTATCTTCGAGACGTCTCAAAGCGCTTCACAGAATATACTGTAAAGTGAACTGACTGTTTATTTTGTGGGCGAAACACGGCAGACAATTGTGCACATCAGCGTCCCACAAACAGTCGTGGATTGAAGTGACCAAATTATTTTTATTTCTTTTGAAGGAATTATTACTCATTTAGCAAAGAGTTCGCTGTTGAAGTGGTTGGGTGGATCCCTGGGAAGATTAAATCAAATGGACCAAAGGGCCTTAGTTGATCTTTCTAGTGATCTTTTGTAAAGGCTCAGTTCAAAGAAGCCCAGTTAATCCTCATTCTGTATTAGTAATTAATGTATTAAAATATACACAGGTCAATTGATTCAGTGGCAAACAATACAAATGACAAATTCATATTGATTTATCACCTTTTGGCACCATCCCAATGTTGCCACCCACTCAATCTGTCTGTGTCACAGGTTGTTGTTTGGCGAAATAGGTAGAGGATCCATGGGAATATTAAACATGCAAATGAGCACATTCCACGTGTATGAACCAAGACACACAAGGGGGAATAAAAACCTGCATTCCCTATCAGTCAGGCCTGTCTCACAATGACACAGCTGTTCTCAGGTTGCTATTCCCACAGAATTTCACAAACTACCAATTTAGCACATAGACAGATTTATAATAATAATAATCCTTGCATTTGATATGGTGCTTTAGCATGTCATTAAGACATCTCAAAGCGCTTAACAGGATATACTACAACGTGAATTGACTCTATATTTTGTGGGTGAAATGCAGCAATTGTGCATAGCAGTGTCCCATAAACAGTGGATTGAATGACCAAATTATTATTTTTAAGGTATTATTACCTCAAGAAAATGATCTACCAATCGACTAACAACTGGGTTCTTACTTACTGCTAGATAAATAGCCCTTTGGAGTAAGGAAACCTGCTTAAGCTTTCACCCTGCCCGGAAATCAAACCCGGGTCCTCTCGCTTGCAAGGCGAGCACTCTAACCAATCTAACCATAACCAATATGCTACAGGACTCCATTAAGTGAGTGGGTGGCAATTTGACATTTGGATCTTAACGTTGTATAAGTGTGAGGTAGATATAATAAAATAAATACACTTTGGACGTAAGAAAAATGGCTAAGAATATGGTTGAAATGCAAAGCATTAGGAGGAGTATGTGAACGAAGGGATCCAGAGTTCTAAGTTCATCTAAATCATTAAACTCTCGTTCACAGCAGAAAGCAATCGATGAGGCAAATGGGATTCCCAACTTTGTAACAAGGTGTCTGGAATATAAAAGCAAGGAAGCATTGCTTCAGCTATATCTTAATTGGAGACTCTGTTCAATTTGGGGCAGTCAATCTTTGGACCAATACATTAGCTTTCAAGGACATCCAGCAATCTGGGATTAAAGGCCTTGGCTACGATGAGAAGTGGGATAGGTTTGCAGATGCAGGTTAACAGGTGACAAATAGTAAATTCCTTGCATTTCATATAGAACCTTTCACTTTGGGAGTTCTTTTCAAAGAGGGTCCAAGATGGATCGTGTCCACAGAAACCCCCAGAAAAGGGGGGCAAAAGGGTCCCTAACATAGCCCTGATCTTCATGGCCACCTGTGGGTGTAGCTGCTGAGGCTACGCCGGCAACAAATGCCGCTACATGCTGGGTTTCTACCTGTATCCGGTGCTGAGAAGGGTGGGTCTGTCAGAACTGCCGCGAAGCGAACTGCCTATCCTATATTGAGAAATTCCTGAAGAACAACATCTCAGACCCCGGTGCAATCTCCGAGTGGTCCTTGTGGCTGGTAGTCAAATCAGTTCTAAAGAGGGAGAGAGCAGACCTGTTCCGGAGGTGCCCTGTGGGCAATGGTCAGCTATGTCTGGCAAAACGCCTAGACACTGGCCCTGACCAACAACCATCAGGACATGGCCTGGCAGCGATAAAAGGGGCCCAAATCCCCACTCAGGTCTTTCATGCACAATCGAGATCCAGACCAGTCAGCACGTTGCCCTCGGGCCGGCTGCAGAGGCCAGGAGACTGTGGACCACCTCCTCCTGGAGGGTTGTTTCACAAAGGTCTTTTGGAAAAAGATGGACTGGATTCTCTCGCGGTTCAGGATCTCAGGATCACGCACGCTAGTATCAGGGACTAGATACTGAGGGACAAGCTCGGCTCAACCGTGGCGAAGGCCAAATGGGGCCTCAGGGCGCGCTCACCGGGTAGCCCACGAGGGCAGCCAAACTGACTGAAGTAAACGTAAGGGCACGAAGCAACTTGAGATGCAACCGAAGAACATCCCGAAAATGTACATGTACGTCTGCGGTGCACATCGGGGCATCTTCCCAAAGCGGCAAGTGCACCGCATCAGGGTGTGCGCGGGCAGGAACATGGCTGTGGTGGACACAGGGGCGACTCCCGACTATTTTGAAGGCAGCGTCCCAAAAAACAAGCGCGCAACCTACGTGTGGTAAAGAAACGTACCATAAATTACGGAATTTTTTTTTTTTAATCGGGAGGAAGGGAAAAATTGTTTCAAAAGATGTTGTGTTTGTTTTGGATTTCTGTTGGACTAAATATTGTATTTGTAAATAAATATATACTTTCAAAAAAAAAGTTCTTTTCAAAGCGCTTTATGGCGTATACCGTAAAGTATAATGATTGTGTATTTTGCAGGTGAATGCGACGGCCAATTTGCAGAGTAATGATAAATAAACAGCCAATTGAGTAACCACTTTTAACTTGTGAGTCAGAACTGGGAGAGAGAAATTCCTTGCTCTTTTCAAATAGTGCCGTGGGATCTTTGACGTCCACCTGAGAAGGTTCAGACAGGACCTCAGTTTAATGTCTCATTCAAAGGCTCCAGCAATGCAGCACAACCCCAGCGCTGGATTGAAGTGCCAGCCTAGACATGTGAGTTCAAACTCCCGACGTGGAACTTGAACCCGTAACCGTAACCTTCTAAACCTAATCAGAGGTTAGAGTGCTACCGACTGAGACA